GTCTTTTTAGGTCTTAGCCATAAAATTTTTGCCTAGATCTCTCTTTCCCTTCGGCGCGCCACTGAGGATCCTGGTGTCGCCATAGGCCGCCGCCCCGCCCGTTGTTACCGGTATTGTAAGAACAAGCCATACCCAAAGTCTCGCTTCTGCCGAGGTGTCCCTGATGCCAAGATTCGCATCTTTGACCTGGGGTGGAAGAAGGCAAAAGTGGATGAGTTTCCGCTCTGTGGCCACATGGTGTCAGATGAATATGAGCAGCTGTCCTCTGAAGCCCTGGAGGCTGCCCGAATTTGTGCCAATAAGTACATGGTAAAAAGGTGTGGCAAGGATGGCTTCCATATCCGGGTGTGGCTCCATCCCTTCCACGTCATCCGCATCAACAAGATGTTGTCCTGTGCTGGGGCTGACAGGCTCCAAACAGGCATGCGAGGTGCTTTTGGAAAGCCCCAGGGCACTGTGGCCAGGGTTTACATTGGCCAAGTTATCATGTCCATCTGCACCAAGCTGCAGAACAAGGAGCATGTGATTGAGGCCCTGCACAGGGCCAAGTTCAAGTTTCCTGGCCGCCAGAAGATCCACATCTCAAAGAAGTGGGGCTTCACCAAGTTCAATGCTGATGAATTTGAAGACATGGTGGCTGAAAAGCGGCTCATCCCAGATGGCTGTGGGGTCAAGTACATCCCCAATCGTGGTCCTCTGAACAAATGGCGGGCCCTGCACTCATGAGGGCTTCCAATATGCTGCCCCCACTTAATACTCACCAATAAATTCTACTTCCTGTCCAGAAAAAAAAAAAATTTTTTTTGCCTAGATCAATGTACTTAAGTGTTTACCCCAGGTTTCTGTCTAGTACTCTTATAGTTTCCGGTCTTACATTTAAGTCTTTAATCGATCTTGAGTTGATTTCTGTGTAAGATGAGAGACAGAGGTGCAGTTTCATTCTTTTGCATATGCATATCCAATTTTCCCAATACCATTTATTGAGGAGGATGTCCTTTCCTCAACGTATGTTCTTGGTGCCTTTGTTGAAAATCAGTTTTGTGTGTAAACATGTGGATTTATTTCTGCGTTCTCTATTCTGTTCCATTGGTCTTTGTGTCTGTTTTCATACCAATACCATATAGTAATCAAAACATGATTACTATAGCCTTGTAATATACTTTGAAGTCAAGTAGTGTGATGCCTCCGGCTCTGTTCTTTTTGGTCTGGATTGGTTTGGTTATCTGGGTTCCTTTGCGGTTGCACATCAATTTTAGGATTGTTTTTTCTATTTCTGTGAAAAATGTCATTGGTACTTTGATAAGGATTGCATTGAATCTGCAGATTACTTTTGGCAGTATGGTCACTTTAATTATATTAATTCTTCCAGTCCATGAGCATAGAGTATCTTTCCATTTGCTTGTGTCTTCTTCAGTTTCTTTCATCAGTGTTTTGTAGTTTTCCTTGTAGAGGTCTTTCACCTACTTGGTTAAATTTATTCCTAGGTTATTTTTGGTAGCTATTTCAAGTAGGCATGTCTTTTTAATTTCTTTCTCAGCCATTTCATCATCAGCTATTTCATCAATGCTGCATATAAACACTACCGATTTTTGTATATTGAGGTTCTATCCTACAACTTTATTGTATTTATCAAATTTGAGAGGGTTTTGATGGAGCCATTAGGTTTTTCTAGATACAAAATTATACATTTGCAAAGAGGAACAAATGCAAAGATATCCGACTTGGATATCTGTTATTTCTCTTGTCTGATTGCTCTGGCTAGGTCTTCCAGTACTATGTTGAATAGTAGTGATGAAGGTGAAAAAACAAGATCCTTGTCTTGTTCCAGGTCGTAGATGAAACGGTTTCAGCTTTTCCCCATTCATTATGATAGCTGTGAGTTTATCATATATGGTTTTTATTATTTTGAGGTATGTTCTTTCGATGCCTAGTTTCTTGAGAGTTTTTATCATGAAGGGATGATGAATTTTATCAAATGCTTTCTATGGATTGGTTGAGATGATCATACGGTTTTTGTACTTCATTCTGTTGATGGAATTACTGTATTATGTTTGTTGATTTGCATATGTTGAACCATTTTTGCATCCCTGGTATAAATCCCACTTGTTCATGGCATATTATCTTTTTGATGTGCTGTTGGATTCAGGTTGCTAGTATTTTGCTAAGAACTTCTGCATCTATTTTCATCAGGGTTATTGGCCTGTAGTTTTCTTTTTTGTTGAGTCCTTGTCTGGTTTTTAATATCATAATAATGCTGCTCTCATAAAATGAGTTAGGGAGAATTCCCTCCTCTTCAATGTTTTTTCAGCTGTTTGAATAAAACTTGCGTTAGTTCTTCTTTGAAGGTTTGATAGAATTCATCAGAGAAACCACCCAGGCCTGGGCTTTTCTCTGTTGGAGGACTTTTATTACTGATTCAATCTCATTACTTATTGTGGTCTGTTCAGGTTTTCTATTTCTTCCTGATTCAATCTTGGTAGGTTGCATACGTCCAGGAATTTATTTATTTCCTCTAGGCTTTCCAATTTGGTGGTATATAATTGTTTATAATAGTCTCTGAATGATTATTTGTATTTCCATGTTATCAGTTGTAGTGTCTCCTTTTTCATTTCTGATGTTTATTTGTGTCTTCTCTCTTTTTTTTTCTTGGTTAGTCTAGCTGGCGGTTTATCAATTTTTTATCTTTTCAGAAATCCAACTCTTTGTTTCATTAAAACTTTATATATTTTTAGTTTCTATTTTGTTTAGTTTGGCTCTGACTTTTACTGTTTCCTTCCTTCTACTCATTTGGGATTTGGTTTGTTTTTCCTTATTTAGTTCCTTGAGGTGTACAGTTAGATTGATTATTTGGAATCTTTTGCCTTTTTTGATGAAGGCATCTATTGCTGTAAATTTTTCTCTTAGCACTGCTTTTGCTGTAGCTCATAGATTTTGATATGCTGTGTTTCCATTTTCATTTGTTTCAAGTAACTTTTTGATTTCCTTCATAATTTTTTTTCTTGACTCAGTGGTCATTCTGGAGCATGCTGTTTGTTTAATTTCCACATATTTGTACAGTTTCCCAGGTTCCTCTTGTTACTGATTTCTATTTTTATTCCATTTTTGTCTGAGAACATACTTGATATGATTTTGATTTTTTTAAATTTATTGAGACTTGTTTTGTGTCCTTCTACTTAACTACTTCTTACACCATTAAATAGAATACAGTAATAGCTATTTCAAATTAATGAACATAATACACATTATTTTTGTCAATCTGTTCAAAAGTATATTATCTAAATATTCATCAAAATACTTTTATTCCTGAATACCAAATTTCAAATATACAAAAGCACATTTATGAATTGTAATTAATCTTCACCTCTCACTAGCTCAACTCCTACCTCCTGACCCAAAATGTCTGTTGTCCATAGAATGGTGCACACATTCCAGACATGTTTCTGTGGATGCGGTGCACATGACCATGTCCACCTACACATGCTATAATCTTTGCCAAAAAGTGTGATCACATTAATCATCTCCTTTTGCAACCTGTCTTTTCCATTTAATATTCTTCTGAGGATTTATATTAGCATCTTATTAGTTCTTACAGTTTTAACATAATCAACAAGTTCATTGTTCATGTCTATATCTATTGGAATTGTATGTCAAAATTAGTTGCCAACTGCTTTGTTACTGAGCTTGCCCTATAAATTGTGGATGCTAATCTAACATCTGAGATGTAGTTTGAAAATGTTTCCCCATTATTTTATAGAAATTCTTAGTGTTATTTTCATTTAGAACGTGTTTTCAACTTCAATAATATGAATAAGATATATACAGATTGTAATTTAAAAAGAAATACTGGTGAAGAACACCTTAGGGCGTGTGTACTGTCGGCCTTGAGAAAAATACGAGCATTGAGAGTCCTGGAGATATCAAGACAAAAATGGAAAAATACTTTAAGTAATTCTAGAGTTAGCTGCTGATCTGGAGAGAAAAGAGTTTTCTCCCCGATTTACATAAACTTTCCCAAAGTACCATAATATGAATAATGGTCAAAGTGATAGGTACCTTGAATAGCAGTTAAGATTAAAGGAGATGAAATATAAAGTGCATTTGCTTACAGTAGTTTAGTGTATGTTAATTTCCTTCTCTCAAGCTCCCCTGTCCCAAGGCCAATACTTGAGCTTCTGCCTGAGCCCACTCACTACTTCGAGGAGCAACCAACTCGTGTGGCCCTACACCCAGGTCTCCTGGCATAAATGGCGGGATTTAATCTTCTCTATCTTCTTCATCACCCAGAGGGGTTGTGGAGTGAGGATGCATTGGTCCACAATAGCAGAGGGGTGGAATCTGACCATTTCTCAAGCCCTGGAAGCCCATCTTCTAAAAGGGAGGCTACTCAGGGCTGTCTATGGATGATGAGGGATGGAACCTCATTCCAATCCTACCACCTATCTGGAGAAACTTAGGCTCTGAAAGCCTGAGTTTGGCCATCTATGAAATGGGATTGACCATACCATCCTTACAGTGCTGTCCTGAGGGGTAAATGAGAAAACCTGTCCAGAGTATATGGCATACAGTGGGACTTCAATGGCCTTTAAATGTTGGGACACAGCACTAGGGGATGGGTGAGCCTCAGGGCTAAGGAGGCATTGTGAAAAATCATTTCTCATTGTTTCTCTTTATGAGAAAACAGGTATCTAGTTGAAGAAAGCAAATGTCCCTGTGATATGCCTTGAGTTCAAAGATTTGTAGACAGTTGTTTCTGTACTTCCTGGGCATTATCAGAAGCTCATAAGAGCTGTTCAACATCATGCCCCCGAGCTGACCCAAATCCAGCTCCCCATGCTGGAAAAACAGGCATATCTTTGAATTCACCTGTTGAGCTCAGAAATCGGTAACACCAGGGTAGCAAAAAGTTGTGTTTGCCTAATGGCTGTTCCTGGACTGGTCAGTATGGTTTTGGGCTCTTTAGTTTTAGTTTTTTTTTTTTAAGGAAAAATTTGGACCCATACCGCAGTCACCAGTGCAGAGTCTTCAGATCATGCAGTACTCAGCCACATCACTTCAGGTTTTCGGTCATCTGCTGCCTCCCTTAGAGACAAAAATCCAATAGTTACTAGCAAGTCTTTGACACATGATATAGTTTGGCTGTGTCCCCACCCAAATCTCACCTTGAATTGTAATAATCCCCACATGTCAAGTGCAGGGCCAGGTGGAGATAATTGAATCATAAGGGCAGTTTATACCACACTGTTCTCATAGTAGTGAATAAGTCTCACGAGATCTGATGGTTTTATAAATGGGAGTTTCCCTGCAGAAGCTCCCTTGCCTGCCACCATGTAAGATGTGTTTTTGCCTTCTGCTATGATTGTGGGGCTTCCCCAGCCATGTGGAACTGTGAGTCAATTAAACCTCTTTCCTTTATAAATTACCTAGTCTCCATTATGTCTTTATTAGCAGCATGAGAACAGACTAATATAACACACAATTGTCCAGTTTTTAATTAGCTAACAACTAAATATTTACAGAGCCCAGAACTCATGCTATTCCACTGGAGGTACCTCATGAACCCTAAAGTCGAATTAACTGGGTAAGAAAGGAAATTAATATATGAGTGACTTCATTGTTTAAATCTGAGATGAGATGGTTCTTCTCATTAATTTTTAAACTTGATCGGGTTTCAAAAAATTGATGATTTTCAAAAATCCCTCCTTGGACCTCTCATCACCTATTCAACCACATGATAGAGATACCACTCCTCTCCCTCTCCCCCCCCCTCTCTCTGGCGCTCGCTCTCTGTCTGTCTGTCTGTCTCTCTCTCTCTGTGTGTGTGTGTGTGTGTGTGTGTGTGTGTACGTGTATGTGTCCTCCCCCATTGGATTCTCTCTTCTCCTTCAAATTCAAAGTTCCACAAAGAGTTTTATACATTCCTTGTTAATACTCTCCACTTTTGACTGACTCTTTATCCCATTACACTATGGATTCTGTCCCCAGGATCATCAATTAACACATATGAATTAAAACTCTTTTGAGGCCGGGTGCGGTGGCTCACGCTTGTAATCCCAGCACTTTGGGAGGCTGAGATGGGCGGATCACGAGGTCAGGAGATCAAGACCATCCTGGCTAACATGGTGAAATCCCGTCTCTACTAAAAATACAAATAATTAGCCGGGCGTGGTGGCAGGCACCTGTAGTCCCAGCTACTCGGGAGGCTGAGGCAGGAGAATGGCATGAACCCAGGAGGCGGAGCTTGCAGTGAGCCAAGATGGTGCCACTGCACTCCAACCTGGGCGACAGAGCGAGACTCCGTCTCAAAAAAAAAAAAAAAAAAAAAAAAGAAAAACAAACAAACAAACAAACAACAAAAAAACTCTTTTGAAATACCTTCCTTGTGCAATCAAAAATAACAAATGGAAAGTACAATATACTCATACTGAGTAATTGTGATACAAAATCAGATCAAGCTCTAAATGATATGCATCCCTGAACTAATCAATGGATTTGGGTAGTAGCCTGGACATACGAAAATCAACTCAGGGAATCACTGTCTTCTTTCACCAGCATGACCCAGTTTAGATTCTAGATAGACAGGGTAAGCCTACATGAATTATAGTTTGGATTAAAGATAGAAAATTAGGTCTGGGCAAATGGAAGGTATTTCATGTCAGGAAACACTGAGACATTATTTTAGGCTAGTTAGCTTCAGGGAAGCGCTAAGATTTTGAATTCATCAGGGAATAAAGAGGTTTGAAAAATGGTATCTGCAGATTTTGTTGGAGCTCCCCACAGCATATAAACTGAGAAAATGGGTGTGTCTGCTTCAGTGAGTCTGAGAGACAGTATAAATGACAAATAGGCATATATGGTAGGTCCCTCTATTAAGATGTGAATGTGTGTTTGTTCTCATGTTTCTTCCTTTCTCCTATTTCATGAGGTAGCCAGGTATTTAGGGATGAAACCACGTCAGAAAACAATATCATATTTCACTTACAGATATATGCATATGTAATAAAAGTATAGAAAAATGTCTTAAAAATGTAAAACCTAAATTATACATTGTGGTCACCTGTGGGAAAGAAGGCAGCTGAGGTAATAAGAGAAGACTTTAAAGTGTGTTTGACTCACCTATGAAGGTTTTATATGTTGACATGAGTATGTAGAAGTCTGTTGTATTCTATAATTTTTTTGTGTTACTTTAAGATTTCATAACAACCACTATTTCTCTGAGACTTAATTCTGATTTTAAAAAGATCCATACCAATTAAGAAATTCAGGGAAATATAATCAAGTCCAGATATATAATTAATCAATAACCCCATCACTGGTTAATTTTTAAACTTTTTTTTGTATTAATGCTCATTTCATTCTCTATGCATGCATATTTAATGTTTGTATACTAAATATGGGTTTCATTAATTTGAAGACTCAACATTTGCTAAAGATCATGAAAGCAGTTATTAAATGTACACACATTTTCTACCTGATCTATCTGACTCCAAAGCCCACATCCCTAACCGCTGGGTATACAAGGAAAGATCTGGTACTTAGGACCCAGGTCTCCTGGTTTCAGTCTGTTTTATAGCAGACTCATCTTCATGCTCTGTCATTCGGTGCTGTCTCCTTTCCAGAGCTTAATGAAAAGCTGCTATTCCAATGTCCAAATGGAAGGTAAAAGAAGGTAGCAAGAAAGGATATCAAACAAAATGTAATGAGGGGATGGTTTTCCTTCTCCTCCACTGCATTGTCAGGTTACCTGTGCTACAGAGACAGCAAAGCCCGCCGTCCCTCCCTCTCTCTCTCTCTTTCCCCCTCCCTCCCTACCTTCCTCCCTTCCTCTCTTTCTTTTTTCAGGGTCTTGCTTTGTTGCCCAGGCTGAGTGCAGAGAGAAAATAAATCAAAGTGTGGAGAGACTGTGACCCTGTGAAAAGAGTGTTCTGGTGAAGAATGTGACTTCAGGAGGAAGCATAAACTCACTGCCAGATGGGAGCCTATGGGACCTGGGGTTAGAGAAAAACTAAACTAAAGTAGGTGTAAGATTAACCTGGGTTAATTTTATGGCTATGTTTTTTTCGGAAATATTTCTTAAGTAACATATTTTAGGAGCCACATTTTTATCATAAATGTATTCCACACTTGTCTTTGCAAAAGGTTAATATTGAGTCAAGCGCAGAATTTAAAAACTATTAATACCCAGTGTTAAAGCAAACTAAATATGACCTGAGAAGGACTCCGTACTTCTATATTTGAGTCCTTGTGGATGAACTGTAACCTAGCTTAATAGGCAAAATTGAAAACGTAACTTCGGAGTATGTGCCTGTAACAATAGCTAACTCTTGGCCAATCCCAGCGGCCATACTTCAACCATTCGTGTACTGCGGAGTGTTCAAACTGGGTTTAAACAAGGCAAACACCAAGCTATAATCAATCCAGCCATTCTGTACCTCACTTCCAATTTCTGTACATCATTTCCCTTTATTGGTCTATAAATCTTTTTCCACCATATGGCTGTGCTAGAGTCTCCATGAATCTGCTGTGATTCTGGGGGCTGCCCAATTCACGAATTGTTCATTGCTCAAAGTCCTTTAAATTTAATTTGGCTGAAGTTTTTCTTTTATCATCAGTATTCCTATCCTTATTGAAATTTACATCATGCTACTTTGTTTTTTTTATACATGTATATAAGCAAATGTAATGGACACACATACATTACATTTTATATAATGGTTATACTATATATGGAGCTTGGTATTCTGGGTTTTTATTTTCATTTCTACTTCTATTTGAACTTTTATACAAAGTACTAATATGTGGATGAATCATTCTGATTAAATTACAAGATATATAATCTAACTTTGCCTTTTAATGAACCAGCTGACCCAACCCCAATTTTCAAACAATGCATCTGATTGGAAATGCCATATCTACATTGCATATTAAATGTAATATATATATATGGGTCTGTTCATGAGCTTTCTACAGACATCCTTTAATCTGTATGTCAAAGACTCCATCAGTTACAAAAGCAAAGTTTCATGGAACATTGCAATACCTGACAGTGTAATCCTGATTCCTATCATTCACCCTTTGGATGAATGGTGCAATAATAAAACAAAATAAACAATAATAAAAATGCCAGCAATTGTAGGATACATGATAGATAAATTATTTGTTCTAGATTATGCAACCATCGAGTGATAGTTCCCAGACTCAAATCCAAGTCCTTCTCACCCCAAAGCCCACACAGCTAACCACTGTTCCTATAATAAATGTCCTTCTGTGGTAGACTAGAGGCTGACAAAAGAACAGGACTCACTCCAGGTCCTGTGGTCACTTTACAGGTCTGACAACTAGGATACAGGTTCAATGACCCCCATCTTCTGTCCAGCTATTATTCTTTGCTCTTCTTTAATATTCCTTCTTTCTGGGGCTCAATAAATTCATTCACCATGTCACACTAGGATGAAAATAGGAGATCAGAAAGTACCTGGAATCAAAAGAATAACGAGATACAACCAACATTCACTGCTTGTCACCATGTTTCCAGATCCTCTCATTTCAAATCTTTTATTTTATGCAGCACAGATGTATTCTTCCAGGGCCAGCAATCTCTAAGAATGTACCCCGAAAGATACAATTAAAAAAGACAAAAGGCATAAACACAAGGCAATTCATGGTAGAACAATTTGTAACAGGACAAGACTAGAAATGAGACAGATATCCATCAATAAGGAATTGATTGAATAATCTAAGGTACATCTACATCCCAGAGTTTTATGGAGGTAAAACAAGCTATGAGAACTCCCCCTTCTACTCCTTTGTAATGATTTTCAGCATATATTGTTAACTGAAGAAAGGTGCAGAAAAATGTGTTGAGTCACTGCTGTCCAATATAGTAGACATTGTCCACATATGGCCATTTACATTTAAGTTGATTAAACATACATGAAACTAAAAGTTCAGTTCCATTCAACACGTTTCAGGTGTTCAACCGCCACAGTTGCCATTAGCTATTGTATTGAACAATGTAGACAGTATATTTCATCTCTATAGAAATTAAAATGATTTTTCTGTTATTCCCACATACAGCTTTCTATTCAGCATATGAAGAGGCTGGAACATCTAGTGGACTTCTGTATCCCTTTAACCTGGAATGCCTCCTTTTTCAACCCAGAGTTTCAGAACGCTCTATAGGGTATGCATGGGCCACAGCCCCTCCCTCCCACCTTCCTGCTCACCGATGTTCAAGCTGTAGTTCAAGCTTCTGTCATGAGGGGGGCGCCATTGTACCACCATTATAGAACTCTTCTGCAAAGACGTGTCTGCAAGGAGCAAAAAATACAGTACTTCCCTTAAACCACAGCTTATAAGCCTAAGTGCAGAATGATTCATTCTAATTCTGTCAAAAAAAAAGAACAACTGGTAAGTGTAAAAGAAGACTGCAAATACATATATGGTGGGGCATCCATAGGATGAAACACCAGGTAGGTCTAACACTCCTTGGCTGTTGCTGGAAGACAGAATCTTAATGGATCGCATCAGGGCAGGTGAGAGGTGACTGAGAGAGGATGAGGGCAAAAAGGGCAGGTCTGGGAGGCTGTGCTTATAGTGTCCTGGAGAGGGGATGAGTGGGAAGCGGTGGTAGAAGGTCCAGGAAGCCTGTACAGGGGTGGATGGAGAGTGAACGAATGCCCTGCTATCTGGAAGGGACCCTCCTACAGTGTGGAAACCTCAACCTACACTGAGAAGGGAAGAGATGAATCAGTGAATGTGATGTAGATTTGGGGTCGACAGCAAATGGAACTGTTTTAATATACACACAAATACTCCAAACAGAACTGGTATTTCAGTGAACAAACGATGTTATAACATGTTACTCTTTGTTAGATGTACTCCTTTTCCTTAAAAAAGAACAAAAGTGAAGATGGCTGTGATGTCTCCTAGTGGCCAGAGCCAGGATTGCAACTCTGAGAGTTGACTGGTGAGTTCAGCAGGGGAAAGGGAGGGATGGAGGTTGGGAGGTTGATTAATGGGATCAGCCAGTTTTCTGGAATTTTTGACGTACCTATAGAAATCCCTCCGTATCCATTATTTTTCTGGGTTATAAAAAAGTACGTTTTCTGGGATATCTAAATTTGAGATTGGAAGTACAGTGTCAGTCTGAACTGGGGATAATGCTGCAACTGTGAACTGTATTTGAGGTGGTAGAGCTAGAGGAGCTAGAACATACACACATACACACACACTCATGTGTGAGTCAATTCATTTTTAAAAAATCTACATTATTTCCCTAGGAAATTGAATAAATGAATGCCTAAAGTAAGGAATATATGTGTACCATACTCTTGTCAATATGTTCACAGCATATTGTTTTTAATATTTTATCAAAATACTTTTTCCTGAATATAAAATGTAAAACAATATATAAAAATACATATATGAATTGAAATTAACCTGTATCTCTCACTGGAGCAGCTCCTAACCCCTGACCCCTAGGTGTCTGCTGTCCATAGAATGGTGCATACTGTGAAATGTGTCTCCACAGGTGAGATGCACACAAATATGTTCACCTATACACACACACACACACACACACAGACTGTTCCAAAGGTTGAATCACATCCTTATCTTCTTTTGCAACCTATTTTTTCCACTATTCTTCTCAGGATTTATATTTACATCTTATTAGTTTCTGTGGTTTTGGCATAGTTAGTGTGTTTATTGTTAATGTATCTAATTATTTGACTTCTCCACTGAAATTATTTGCCTAAGTTCTTTGTTAGTGTGTTTCGCAAAGCATGAATTCTAACCCACTATCTCAGCTCTAGTTTGCACAGATTTTTCCAGAGTTTTTACGCTATTCTTAGGTTTTTTAAATTTAGAATTTTTCAATTTAAATTATCTTCTGACTTAAAACCACATGGATCACAATTTTTTAAAAAAATGTTAAACTCCCTTGGAACATGTAATGGCAGTGCCCAAGGAGAATTAGATCATTCCGAGCCCAGGAGGCACAGAGACAAACTGGAGAAAACTTTAGAATAATTCAGAATTACCTGCTAATCGAGACACAACAAAGATATTTCCCTGATGTACAGAAACTTGTCTAAAGTACCCTGATCTGAATAATGGACATAATTCAGTGGGTATTCTTGTAGGTAACTTGAATAGCTGTTGAGATTAAAGGAGATGAAATATAGAGTACATTTGCCTAAAGGAGTTGTGATGGTTAACACTGAGTGTCAACTTGATTGGATTGAAGGATACAAAGTATTAATCCCAGGTGTGTCTGTGTGGGTGCTTCCAAAAGACATTAACATTTGAGTCAGTGGGCTGGGAAAGGCAGATCCACTCTTAATCTGGTGGGCACAATCTAATCAGCTTCCAGTGAATATAAAGCAGGCAGAAAAATGTGAAAAAGAGAGGCTGGTCTAGCCTCCCAGCCTACATCTTTCTCCCGTGCTGGATGCTTCCTGCCCTCGAACATTGGACTCAAAGTTCTTCAGTTTTGGGACTCGAACTGACTCTCCTTGTTCCTCAGCTTGCAGATGGCCTATTGTGGGACCTTGTGACTGTGTAAGTTAATACTTAATAAACTCTCTCTCTCATATATATGCGCTCACCTGTCTCAAGGCCAACTCTTGAGATTCTGCCTGAGCCCACTCACCACTTCAGGCATCAATCAGCCAACTCATGTGTCCCTACACACAGGTCTGTTGGCACAAAGAATGGGATCTCACCTCTGTCATCTTCATCCAGAAAAGTTGTTGAGTAAAGACTCATGGGGTCACAATAGCAGGGGGGTGGAATCTCACCATTTCTCAAGCCCAGAAACCCATCTTCTAAAAGGGAGGCTCCTCAGGGTCCTCTAGGGAGGGTGAGGGATGGAATTTCATTCAAATCCTGCCACTTACCTGAAGAGGTGACTTAGGTAAGAGCCTGAGCTTAGTCATCTTTTAAATGGGACTGACCATACCATCCTTACATAGCTGCCTGATGGGTACATGAGGAAACGTCTTCAGAGTATATGGCATGGGGTGGGACTTAAATGGCCTTTAAATGGGACATAGCATTAGGGGCTGGCGGAGCCTCAGTGCTAAGGCAGGCATTGTGAAAAATCATTTCTCATTGCTCCCCCTTATGAGAATACAGACATCTAGTTGAAGAAAGCAAATGTTCCTGTGATATGCCTTGAGTTCAAAGTTTTGTAGACAGTAGTTTCTCTACTTCGTGAGTGTTATCAGAAACTCATAAGAGCTGTCTAACATCATGCTTCTGAGATGACCCAAATTTAGTTCCCCACACTGGGAAGACAGGAATGTCTTTGAACTTACCTGTTGAGCTCAGAGACAGCACCAGGGATGCAAGGTATGGTGTTTGCCCAGTGGCTGCTCCTGGACTACCTGGTATGTTAATATATTTATTGGTATATTCTAGATCTGTCCCAAAATCACCAGTGCAGGGGTTTTCAGATCGTGCATTAACCAGCCACATTGCGACAGAATTTCAGCCATCTGCTGCCTCCCTGAGAGACAAAAATCCAAGAGTTACTAGCATTTCTTCACACACAATGTCTATTCTTTCATTAGGTAATAACTAAATATGTATTGAGCTCAAAACCCATTCTATTCCATTGGAGGTGTCTCATGAGCTCTAATGTGATATAAAAGCATAAGGGAAATAAACACGTGGGCAACTTCAAGGGTTCATTCTGAGACAGCTTTTTTTCACATTAGCTTTTAACTTGGTCAAGTTTCAAGAAATTGAATATTTTAAAAAAATCTCTCCTTGGACCCCCCTCATCACCCATTCAGCTACAGGATACAGATCTCCCTGTCTCTGTCTCTCCCTCCCTTATCCTTCTTCTCCTTCATATTCAAAGTACCAAAAAGAGTTTTCTACAAGCTCTGTTAACATTTTTCACTTCCCACTCATCATCCTACTGCCCTATGGCTTCTGTCTCTGGGATTGCAATGAACATTCTCTCCAAAGTCATAATCCACCCATTTCTTACTAGGTCCAGGTTTCGTATAAATACACTAACATAGGGCATATTACTTTTAATGAGCTCCTACAGTATGTATGATTGCAGACTGCTTCTTTCACCTAACAACAGAGCTTTCACAGTTTCCCAGGCTCTAGAGCATGATGCACTGGACATAAGTCCAAGCTGTCCCGCTCCCTAACTGTTCAGTCTTAGGCAAAGTCCTTAAACTCTCTGTCCCTTAGTTTTCCATCTGTAAAACTGAATTTTGCAATAGTATTTAACTCATAAGTGTGTTCTAGGTACTGAATGATCCAACACATTAAAAGCATATAGTACCTATGATATGTTGGCACTTTTAAATACTTTTCACATACCTTACTGGTATTCGTATCCCTGTAGCCATGAAAAAAAATTAGGGTATCAACCAATGTTTATTCATAATCAACGACATTTGGGGTATGATGTTTGTACATGTAAGAGTTTCCTAGGGCCACCATAACAAACTATCACAAACTTTGCATATTTAAACAACAGAAATTTATTATCCCATGATTCAGATGTACAAAACCAAAGTCTGAAGTACAAAATCAAGGTGTAGGCAGGATTGCATTGCCTCCAAAGCCTTTAGGGGAGAATCCTTTCTTAGCTCTTCCAGCTTCTTGTGGCTCCTGCTTTATTTGGTTTGAGGTGGCATAACTCAATCTCTGCCTCAGTCTTCACATGGCCTTCTTCCCTGCATGTGTCAAATCTCCCTCTGCTTTCTTTTATATAGACACCAGTCATTGGAGTTGGGCATCAACCTACATTCAGGATATTCCCTTCTGGGAGATCTTTCACTTCATTATGTCTACACAGACCCTATTTCCAAATAAAGTTTGGGTGGATTAGGATTGGGACATGTTTTGAGGGGGACAAAATTCTACCCACTACAGTTAAATAAGCAAGTTACACCACTAAATGTAAGATAAAGTATCTTCTGTATGTACATGGACTGGCTGATCCCTAAGAGGTTGAACTAGACCAAGCTATAGCCCTTTGGAAAGGGAACCTGGATGGTAGTCTATTAACGGGTACACAACTACTATATAAAGGGTACTTTATATTTCATCTCATTTTGATTTCAACAATTCTATCCAGTACAAATAATTATGCCCATTAATTGGATCAGGGAGCACAAATGAAAAGACTGATAACTTGATCTAGGGAAACTACCTTATAAACTATTGTTCCAGGATTCTAAACCTAGAATTATTCAAAACGTTTTTTCCCTTCTGTCCCGTCAGCTGACATCTGATATAACTTAAAGCATTTTTTTTTTTTTTTTAAGAGCTGGAGTCTCGCTCTGTCACCCAGGCTGGAGTGCAGTGGCTTATTGTAGCCTCCTCCTCCTGGGTTCAAACGATTCTCCTGCCTCAGCCTCCTGAGTAGCTGGGACTACAGGTGTGCACCACCAAGTCCAGATAATTTTTTGTATTTTTAGTAGAGATGGGGTTTCCTGATGTTGGCCAGGCTGGTCTCAAACTCCTGACCTCAAGTGATCCACCCATGTCGGCCTCCCAAAGTGCTGGGATTACAGGTGTGAGCCACTGCACCTGGCCTTAAAGCATTCTTGTTTAGTTGAGTCGTTCTTTCGAAAACAATGTGCTAAAGTGCTTTTTAAATAGTAAAAAACTATAAAGTATAGAATTGTATTTGCATAGCTAAAATAGAAAACAAAAAGAAATAAAAAATTTGGGAGAAATTATTTCTAACCCATATTCAATCATGTTTTATATCCTACAAATATGAAATATTCATGAACAAGAGAAGTAAGCCAATCATATCGAGACAATATATAAATCTTAGAAAAATGATATAAATTCCAACACTTGGGAACACACCAAAACAAATAAAATATATGAAACAGAATCATATTTAGTCAACCAGTTAAGTCATAAATTATAATGTAGTGCATGGATTTATGTAAAATAATTTATATAGACAGATTAACATGGATTTAGAGGTATGTGTGTCAATAAAAGTAAGTTAGTATACTACATGCAGAGAAAAACATCTGAAGAGTAGATACTAATAAATTAAGAGAAACTATCTTTGTATATGGAGAAGGAGAAGATGTGACAGATGGACAATATTTTTAATATGTAATATACATTCTGATTATATTTGATAAATCTTAAACAATGAAAATAATTAACTGATAATGTGACAAAGTTATTAAGATTCTGTTCTGTAAATCAGAAAAATCTGTGACCTAGTCACAAAATTATAGTGTAGAACTGCATTAAGAATCATGTTCATATGCTGTGTGAAAATAGTACATTAAAAATTATATTTTGTAAATCAGTGTGTGCACATTGTAGAGAGATAGAGGATTCTTTTATTTTATAAATGTGCAATTCTCTGGTGTTCTAAATTTAGAAACTTTATTGTACAAAATGTGGAAAACAAAAAGTTGTGAAATTACAAATATGATGCTCATATATTCATTGCTTTGGAAACATGTTCACAGTATACTGTTTTATACATAAGACAAGTAGCTCAAAACTATTTGATGGTGTGTTTATATGTTTCAGTGTGGGTGTCTGCATGTTGCTTGTATCTCAGTCTTCTTCACAACAATTATACACACACAAACTCTTGCAGCTTTCTATTCAGTTTGCAGATAGAGAGTAAAGGATAAGGTCACCCTTGTGTTGGTTTCATCCTTGGTTCTCCTCATGAGTAAGGGACTACATGTTTACTTTCTCTTTTAGCCCTTCACTACATCAGAGTTGTGGATTTCTGGTTTTGTGCTTGTCTTTTCCCTAGGACAGAAGTCCCTCCAATTTGGTCTTCTAGCTGACATGCAGTTTCTGCTTTATGCAAGACTGCCTCTCCCATTTGAGGGATGTGGACCCAGATCCACAAAAAACTGAAAAGACTAGAGACTGAATTGTCAAAGACAAGCACAGGAGTAGGACTCCTATCCAAATATCTAATTCTTCTGATTTAGTGAGATGGCTTTCATGAACTTCTCACATGATGTTCACCACCCCTCAGCATTCCTCTTCCTCTGTGGGGAAATAGGCATTTTCATGCATTGCTAGAAGTAATGTTAAATGGTACAGTCCCTGTGGTGGGGTTTGATGCTATCTATAAAAATACATTGGTATTTACTCTTGGAAACAGCAATCCCTCTTCTAAAAATCCATCCCAAAGAAATACTGCAAAAAGATAAAAGGCATATACACGAGGCTATTTATGGTAGAAAATTCCTAACAGAATACTAGTAATATGACAGATGCCCAGTACAGGGCCAACTAAATAATCTAAGGTACAACTACACCCTAGAGTACTATGCAAGTATAAAAAGCAAGGAGGACTCCCTCTCTGTACTGCTATGAGTAATCTCTATGACACATTGTGAAATAAAAAGCAAGAAGAAGGAGGAAAAAAAAAAGTATAGAGCAGCAGTATCCAATACAGTAGCCACTACTGACATATGTCAACTTAATTTAAATTACAAACTCAGTTTCTTAGTCTTACTCATCACGTTTCACATGCTCAATAACCATAGCTAGCTAGTGGCTACTGTGTTGCACAGTTTAGATATAGAACATTTTCATTTCTGGATAAATTTTTACTGGGGAAGTAATATAATAAATAATATACATATTTGCTTTTTTTTTTTTAGAATGAGGGTAATAACAAAAACTAATAAAATGATTACCTACAATAGGACAGAGGAGCAGCCCGGGATAAAAGCAGATGACATGCATCTCTTACAAAGGATACACATTTCCTGGTTAAACACACTGGAGAGGACAAAAAAAATGACTAACCCGGTAGCAATGAGCAACCAAAAGTACTCAGACTGAATCCAAAAAAACAAAACACAAACAGAACAAGCTCACTGCTCACCTTTGGAAACTCCTAAGGAAACAAGTCACTGTTTTGAAAAGTGGAAATACTGCAAAAGAACTAAACATTCATCCTACCTTCCCTGTGTATACCACATCTCAATATAATCTAATAGGTCAGAGGAAGTTTTCTTTATACATGAATTCCAGCTGGTGAAGGCAGAAGAAATCAGAATTACAATGTCACCCTTTTTGTAACATTTAATGAAATGCAGATACAGGTAAGAATATTCAGAGACTGCAAAAAACATGAAGTAAAGGTGAATAGGGAAATTTTATAAAGAACAGATCATGCTGATGACACCTGAACCCAGTGATTAATTTCAACATCACAGGAGAGACAACCAGATCCAATGAGCCTCCTAGTGTAACACTGTAAGAATAAACACCACCACACCTGAGATATTCAAGCCAAAAAACTTGAATCTCAACAAGCCTCTAAATCTCATTACCAATTTAAAGGACATAAGACTGGCCAGATGAACTTAATAAACAACAAAATAAGGACACAATCAGCAATATCCAGAATGCAAACTCCACAGGACAACAATCCAATTTCTTTTTTTTTTTTTTTTTGAGGCGGAGTCTCGCTCTGTCGCCCAGGCTGGAGTGCAGTGGCGCGATCTCGGCTCACTGCAAGCTCCGCCTCCCGGGTTCCCGCCATTCTCCTGCCTCAGCCTCCCGAGTAGCTGGGACTACAGGCGCCGCCACCACGCCCGGCTAATTTTTTTGTATTTTTAGTGGAGACGGGGTTTCATTGTGTTAGCCAGGATGGTCTCGATCTCCTGACCTCGTGATCCGCCCATCTCGGCCTCCCAAAGTGCTGGGATTACAGGCTTGAGCCACCGCGCCCGGCCAACAATCCAATTTCTTAAGCAAATAAATAAGGTTTTTAAAAAGAGTACAGACCTTCTTTGATTAAAAGAGACTTAAAACTTGAGAGAACTAAATTAAGGAGAAACTGATATTAAAACCACAATGAGATACTGCTACACACCCAGCAAAAGAAAAAAAAAAAACAAAAAAGATGGAAAACACTAAGTGTGGCAAGGATGTGGAGCAGTGGAACTCTTACACTGTTGATGGGGATACAGATTGGAAAAACCACTTTGAAAAACTGACGGTGTCCACTGAGCTGAACATATACATACCCTGTGACTCAGAAATGCCAGTCCTTGGCACATGCCCAAGAGAAATGAAAATAAATGTCTATCCAAACATATGTATAAGATCATTCATTGTGGCACATATACACCACGGAATACTATGCAGCCATAAAAAAGGATGAGTTTGTGTCCTTTGTAGGGACATGGATGCAGCTGGAAACCATCATTCTCAGCAAACTATTGCAAGAACAGAAAACCAAACACCGCATGTTCTCACTCATAGGTGGGAACTGAACAATGAGATCACTTGGACTCGGGAAGGGGAACATCACACACCGGGGCCTATCACGGGGAGTGGGGAGGGGGGAGGGATTGCATTGGGAGTTATACCTGATGTAAATGATGAGTTGATGGGTGCTGACGAGTTGATGGGTGCAGCACGCCAACATGGCACAGGTATACATATGTGACAAACCTGCACGTTATCCACATGTACCCTAGAACTTAAAGTATAATAAAAAAAAATAAATAAAATAAAAAAAAAGATCATTCATAACACCATTATTCATAAGTCAAACACTGGAAAAATATGTAAATCTCCAAAAGGGATACATATATTGTGAAATACCCAAATAATGCAATGCCATCCATCAATGAGAATGAATAATCTACAACTATAGACAAGAATAATGGAAATCACACACGCATTATGCTGATTGAAAGGAGATAGACACAAAAGACTGCATGCTGTACAATTCCAGGCATTTTTCTGCTCATGTCCCAATAGATTTTGGTAAAGGAAAGGAAAATCATTACCCCATTTCCATTTATTTGAAGGTATTCTATGTCTTCCTATATTACCTGCAAGTTAACCTCAGAGAAGCATGTATCCTCTGAACCCTTGAAAAGTGATTCACTATACATAAGAAAAATGCTAATACCATGTCTGAGAACAGATAACTGTGTGAGATGGGAGATATACCTGTGCTCACTGCCAGCTCTAATCTATAAACTCTAGGTGACCATGAGTAAATCACACCTTATTTGCATCACCAATCAATGGTGGTCCGACCAGGCCTGTCTCCAAACTAAAGAAACCTAAAGCACTAGACAAAGTGACTTCCACCTGGAAAAGCACTCTGAATTCCTAAAAAGGAAGATAATTCATCTTTGAATTCCAAGGAATTATTTGAATAGCCAGGTTGTCTAATGCATATTAAGTATGACGATTAATATATTTTTGAAATAATTTCTCTTTTGGTTTCACAGTTATCAGCTTTTTACATTTTCTTAAATAGATACCATCTTGGTATATGGCACAAAAGCTACTGAAAGATACTTTCCAACCAAAGACATACATGAACCACCATGGGCTGACATGGTTCAACCACGTCAAAACTGACATGGCTTTTTCTTCTCCATAATTGTACTGGTTAGGAGTGTAGGATCTGGAGACGGAATAGGGACAAGCCCTACTTCCTATAACCTATGTGACTTTGAATACTTGGCTTCACCTTACAGTCACTCAAATGCCTCATCAGTAAACTGAGATTATGCAATACCTACCAAAGAAGACAAACCATTTTTAAACAAATACTGCTTTATGTTTTGGTTTTACAAGGATAAACAGCCAAGAATCCCATTATTTAAAAAATTATACTACAGAGAAATTGGGATACCTGGCTCTCTGTGACCTTGGGAGAGTGAAAGAACCACTCTGGGCCAGGCACAGTGGCTCACGCCTGTAATCCCAGCACTTTGGGAGGCCGAGGCGGGCAGATCACGAGGTCAGGAGATCGAGACCATCCTGGCTAACACAGTGAAACCCCGTCTCTACTAAAAATACAAAAAATTAGCCGAGCATGGTGGTGGGCACCTGTGGTCCCAGCTACTTGGGAGGCTGAGGCAGGAGAATGGCGAGAACCTGGGAGGTGGGAGCTTGCAGTGAGCTGAGATCGCGCCACCGCACTCCAGCCTGGGCAACAGAGCGAGACTCTGCCTCAAAAAAAAAAAAAAAGGACCACTCTAGAACCACTCTGTACTTCAATTTCGTTTTCTGTAAACTGGGGCAAGCAACTGTCCCTACCTCATGAGTTGCTGCTTTGAGAATTACTTGAGTTAATACATGCAAACTCTTAGACCCATAGTAGGAACACAATAACTGCTCATTAAATGTGAATTTGATATTGAGATTTTTCAAGTTTTAAAAGTTTAATAGTTAGCATGTTAATTAAATAAAGCATTATAGTCTTACAATTGAATCTTAATTATCAACTGATATATATTTTAAATTACTAACTTTCACTTCTAAACCACATTTGGATGACCTAACTAATTAACTTGAGACTATCTCAAAAGCACTTGGAAGGACTGATCTCAGAAAACAGCACCATCGTTTCTCCATTTTGCTGAACAAAAACACCTGGGGTCCTCCTTGACTCTGCCTTATCCCCCATACCCTACCTACACAGGCACTGCAAGTCCTGCCTGCCCTACCTCCAAATACCCTCTGTTGAGGTCCACACCGCCCTCCCTGCCCCCACCCCTGGCTTCTGCACACAGTGGCAGCCCTGGTCCCCTCTACCTGCACATCTTCAGTATTCTCCCAATGGTTATCCTCACTCCCTACCTTGTTCCTTTCTAGTCCATTCTCCACACAGCAGCCAGAGTCACCTTCTGACAAGAATCAGACCATGTCACTCCCATACTCTAATCTTGACACTCACAATACAATTATCCAAACTCCTTACAGGGCCTAAGCCATGTTGTTCCTGTCTACCCTTCAACTTCATCTCCCACCAGATTGCATACTGTTTGCTAGGCTCCAGCCACTCTAGCTTGTCCTCTGTTCCTGCATCAGTGGTGTCCACACACAACATAGGGACACTGACAAAATGGCCTCTCCATGCCTGGCTTCTTCCTATCATTCAAGACTCAGGTCAAGTATCACTTCCTGAGAAAGAGTACACTGACAACCCTATCTATAATAATCCTTGTATTGATCCTTCTCTACTTTGTTTAGTTATGCTTATTTTCGTCAAAGAGTATATCCTCATATGAAATCACATGCTTGCTGATTTATTTACCTGCTTATAGTCAGTTTTTCCAGACTAGAATGATAGCTCCTGGGACCCTGCCTGTCTTGTTTTCTGTGATGTTTCCCCAGTGCCTAGACCAGAACTTCACACATAAATCATTGAATAAGTATTACTGAATTGAAGGAATTGTTACATATTGGACATACCAGAGATCACACGGATATTTAAAACTGAGTAGCAGGAGCAACAATGAAATTAGACATCAAAGGATTCAAATTTTCATGGGCCTTGTTGCCAATCCACAGCAGCGCTTTTCAAACACTGATGAATACCAGAAACAACTGAAGAAATTACTCAAAATGTAGACACTTCTCACCCCACCTCCCTGGTTTTGATTCTGTAGATCTAGGTTGGGCCCAAGTATCTGCAATTTTAATAAGCAACCCTTGATGAATTTGATGAAGTGGCCCATGGAGCACACTTGGAAAAATTCTAGACCTAAACAGTTCATATTTAATTATAATTAATTTAATGCCTCCATGCAGAGTTCTGGGACATCTGAAGTGTCTCTGTTAATGTAATTACTTGAAAGTGCGCTGGTTCTTCCATTTCACCGAAGACCACTGATTGCTTTTTCACATGGGATCACCCTTAAACTCTAGAGTATTCCAAGTAGTCTGGAGGATTGGGAATTGTTATCCTGCTGTATGGGCGAGGCTGGTGGAAGGGTAGTGACTCACCTAAAGTGTCCCAATGATGGAACCCTGATCTTTTCACTCTTGCTCCAGCAACCTGTCTAGCAGACTCCACATCACACTTGGTTCTTCTCTGTCAGCTCCTGGTTCTGGGATGCAGAGTCCACACCCTTCTCTGATGTTGCATTAGAAGGGAGATTAAGAAGATAAGAAAGCACATGGAATAGAGAGGAAAGTAAGAGGATGGGAAAGCACATGAAACACAGGGGATGGGATGATGATGTCTGTCGTGTCCCTACTATCTGGAAGCTGTGCTATGATACTTTTCCTCTTCCCCAGCTCCATCCTACAACCCCCTGCTACACACAACAGTGACACTGAAGCTCACACATAATAGAAATGTGGGCTTCTCTGTGCTTTCTGTTACATTTCCAAGTATTCATCCTAGTAGTCACACTATTACATTAATGTCAAGACATCACACTGGCATAGTGAAGGAGGTAATGTTAGAATGAAGAACATTTGCTGATGGCCTACAAGATGCCACAAGCTTTAGGTTGTTATTTTCAGACATTTTCTCTTCAAATCCTCAAAGCTGTGCTCTGAGGTGAGCATCATTACTTCCTTTCCACAGATGGGGTACAGTCAGGCTCAGAGAGCAAAAATACATGCTCAAAGAATTCTAGGGAGGTGTCAAGCAGACACTGAAACCAACTTCAAGGTCCTTCCACTGGCCAATTCTGGAAAAATGTGAGCATCAAAATACAGAATGATAGTAACAGAGTGTAACCCTTTGAAAAAAAATAGGAATCTCACAGTCATATTGATATAAATAAAAACATGAATAAGTACATTAATAAATAATGAGGCCAAGCACAATGGCTCATACCTGTAATCCAGGACTTTGGGAGACTAAGGCACGTGAATTTCTTGAGCCCAGGAGTTCAAGACCAGCCTGAGCAACATAGTGAAACCCCCATCTCTACTAAAAATACAAAAAATTAACTGGATGTGGTGGGATGTACCTGTAGTTCCAGGTACTTGGCAGGCTGAGGTGAGAGGATTGTTTGAGACTGGGAGGTTGAGACTGCAGTGAGCCAAGATCAAGCCACTGCACTCTAGCCTGGGCAACAGAGAGAGACAGGAAGGACGGAAGGAAGGAAGGACGGAAGGAAGGAAGGACGGAAGGAAGGAAGGACGGACGGAAGGAAGGAAGGAAGGAAGGAAGGAAGGAGGGAGGGAGGGAGGGAGGGAAGGAAGGAAAGAGGGAAGGAAGGAAGGAAGGAAGGAAGGGAGTGAGTGAGTAAGGGAGGGAGGGAAGGGAGGGGAGGGGAGGGAGGGGGGAGGGAGAGGAGGGAGGGGAGGGGAGGGAAGGGAGGGAAACAAGGGAAGGGAGGGAAGGGGAGGGAGGGGAGGGAAGGAAGGGAAGGAAGGGAAGGAGGGAGGGAGGGAGAAATCTCTACACTCAAGTGCTTAGTAATAATTCATGAAGGAATAACAGAATTAGAAAAGCAACATTTGACAACTCTCATAGTTGTAAGTGATTCAGGTAAAAATCATAAATGCTCAGTTTGTACCAGCAAATCCCACAGTGGTCACTGAGTCATCATGGTAACCATGCTTGCTCAAAAAAGCTGGGAAAAAAATGAATGACCACCCTGATCTTATACCTAATATATGCTTGGAACTGAATAGGACTCACACGATGCACAGTAATTAACCTCAACTATCCCTTACAATAAACATTCCTGGCAGCTTCAGTGATATATACATTCATAATACATACATACCCACATACATACATACTTGATCTCTCTCACCATCCCAGATCCCAGGAATTCATTGATGTAGATTTACTGAGTGGGTGGGTGGCCAGGTAAAAAATTAAAACCTGGCAGGCATGGTGGCTTATGCCTATAATCTCAACATTTTGGGAGGCTGAGGTGGGAGGGTCACTTGTGCCCAGGAGTTTGACATCAGCCTGGGAAACATGAGACTCTGTCTCTACAAAGTAAACAATAAGTTAGTCAGGTATGGTGGTGTGCACCTGGAGTCCCAGCTTCTCAAGAGGCTGAGCGGGGAGGATTGCTTGAACTCAGGAGGTTAAGGCTGCCGTGAGCTATGATTGTACCACTTTACTCTAGCCTGGGCAACAAAGCAAGATGCTGTCAAAAAAACAAAAAACAAAAATACACCACCACCACAACCACCGCCACCACCAACAAAAAACAGCAAACCTTGCATTTCAACAGATTTATTTTAAGCATACATATAAAGTTGAAAGCTACTGAACTATGCTCTTTTAATGATTACTTTTTCTGGAGATGACCCCTGTAGAATATCTGTGAGACATCTTTCAAATACTTTTTCAATCAGAAAATGGCCCGTGCTTTCAACCAAAGAAAACCTTGAGCTATTATTATTTGGCTGCTGAGAAAATATAATAGTTCAAAGAAAATATAATAATTAGGGATTGTATTTTAAAATGCCATTTATAGTAGCTTTGAAAAGTATGAAATATTTATGGATAAAAAATCTGTCCACAATTGTACAACACCTGCACACTGAACATTACAAAACATTGCTGAGAAAATTAAAGGAGACTTAAATAAATGGGGGACATACTGTGTTCGTGGATCAGAAGACTCAGTATTGTTAAGATATCAAATTTCCCCGATATGATCTATAAATTTAATGCAAACTCAATAAAAAATTTTACCAAAGTTTTTTTTTTTTTTTTTTTTGAGACGGAGTCTCGCTCTGTCGCCCAGGCTGGAGTGCAGTGGCCGGATCTTGGCTCACTGCAAGCTCCGCCTCCCGGGTTCACGCCATTCTCCTGCCTCAGCCTCCAGAGTAGCTGGGACTACAGGCGCCCGCCACCTCGCCCGGCTAGTTTTTTGTATTTTTTAGTAGAGATGGGGTTTCACCGTGTTAGCCAGGATGGTCTCGATCTCCTGACCTCGTGATCCACCCGTCTCGGCCTCCCAAAGTGCTGGGATTACAGGCGTGAGCCACCACACCCGGCCACCAAAGTTTTAAAAAGGTAATTGACAGGCTGATTCTAAAATTCATGTGAAAATTTAATGGATCTAGCTGATAAAAACAACTTTGAAAAAAAGGTCAAAGTTAGAGAACAAACACTACCTGACTTCAAGACTCTTTACAAACCTACAGTAATCAAGAATATGCTGTTGGCATCAAGGTAGAAAAGCAGATCAAAGGAACAGAATAAGGAATCCAAAACCTACCAAATCTACATGGATAACTGGTTTTTTTTTTGACAAAGATGCAAAGGCAATTCAGTGGAGCAAAGATAGTCTTTTCAACAAATTGTGCTGGGAGAAGTGGTCATCTATATTCACAAATACAAACAGTGATCCAAATATCATACTATACACAAAGGTAAACTCAACTCAAAGTGGATCACAGATATACATATAAAACCTAAAACTATAAGACTTCTACCAGAAAACACAGCAGAAAATCCTTCTGACTTTGGGTAAGGTAAAGACTTCATGAGTGAGACAAAACTACAATCTGTAGGTGAAGAAATCAATAAATTAGACTTCCTGAAAGTTAAAAACTTTGCTCTTCCAAAGATACTGTTGACAAGCCCTTGTTTGGGAGAAAATGTATAGAAACCATTTATCTGGTAAAGGGCTTATATCCAGAATACAGAAAATCTCACAAAACTCCTTAAGAAGAAAACAGACACTCCAATAAATAAATGGACAGAAGAGTTGAAAAGACACTCCACTAAAGAAAATATACAGATGTCAAATAAGCACATGAAAAGATATTCAACATCATTAATAATTAGGGAAAGAAAACGAAAAGCACAGTGAGATACTATTTCATTCCAGAAGAATGATCAAAATTTAAAAGACTGACCATACCAATCACCGGCAATTTTCTGGAAGCTTCCAGTGAAGAAATCAATAAATTAGACTTTCTGAAGTTAAAAACTTTGCTCTCCCAAAGATACTGTTGACAAGTCCTTGTTTGGGAGAAAATGTTTGGAAACCATTTATCTGGTAAAGGGCTTATATCCAGAATAGGATATATCCAGAAAAGGGCTTATATCCAGCTGAAACACTGCTAGTTGGAATGAAAAATGGTACAACCACTTTGAAAACAGTTTGGCCATTTCTTACAATGTTAATCTTACCTCTACCACATGGTCCAGAGACTGAACTCCTAAGTATTGACCCTTGAAAGAGAATGCATATTTTCACAAAAAGACTTATTCATAAATGTTCATAGCAGCTTTATTTACAAGAGCCCCAAATGAGAAACAGCCAAAATGTCCATCGACAAATGGATGTATGATAAAATGTTTAGTGTGGTTGTATACTGCAATAGCATTTAGCAATCAAATGAAGTATATCAATGGATAAATGTAATAAAATGGATAAATATAAAAATAAGTAGAGTGAATGAAAAAACCCAGGTGTTGATAAAAAAAAAAAAAAAAAAGAAACCACCTCTATGATTCCATTTAAATATATTTCTGGACATGTAAAGTAATGTATAGTGACAGGCATACTGTGTTTACCTGGGGGCAAGACAGGGGGAAGGGTAGGTAGGCCAGGTACTAAAGAACTGAAATTGTGATGTCCTGGGAAATAATAATGGTATTTAGAACAATCTAGTTATCTTAGTGGACATAGCTGGGTATCATTATAATAGGGCAAACTACATTGCAATTATTAATTTTGAAAATGCTAAATTCTTGTACCTGACATTTTGATATTTTTAGGTAGCACTTAATTTCTGGCTTCTTAGAAAATTTCATTATAGAACAGACAAAAATGTAGAAACCATGGAAGAATGCATACTATAATCACAAATTGCTAGGAAGCTCTTCTAACCTTCTAACTGCATAGTTCAACATCCATCAGATAAATTCATGGGCATCACTGACAACTATTCATACAGGCAGAAAATGTATGTAAATTTGTTGCAAATACATGTTACACATCAAGTTCCCTCCTCAAGTGAACAATTCATTGCTTTATGATAAAGTAAGGCATCTCTCAGATGGGAATCAAGGTTACTACAAAAAGTAGTTTCTCATCTTCTGGACTATGTTGTGAACCTCACAGGAGCTATTCCACAACACGGTTTTGTTCAGATCTATGAACTCACTAGAATCAGGCATCATATCCTACCAGGGAGGGAAGTGCCAGGGGTCTCCTGAGGACAGCTGCCCTTCAAATCCTGAGTAGAAGCTTCAGCACCCATTACGTCCCAGATCCTGAGAACGAACCTCCTTCAGACCCTTAATATAAGTTCAGATACAGGCATGAAGAGTTGCACAGGGAGAAAGAGAATCCAGCCATTATTGTATATTCTTGGAGTAACTCTGTGCCTGGCACCATACTAGGCACTGGGTTAGTGACCAATGACACTGATAAAATTGGGTAGTGATCATATCCAGAAAGTACAATGGGTTTCTCACCAGGGCCTTTTTCTTCTTTCCTTATCTATCCCCTAACAACAAATCTGAAAAGGAATGAAAAGAGGCCTGAATTCACATAAACATTCCTGATCCCACAATAACCACAGGGCTATGGTCTTGTACCTGCTTTATCATGGTAAGTTCCAGAAATTCTGTGGGTGAGCGTAATTATCCCCATTACACAGAATGGGACACTAAGTTCAGTCTTTGCCTGTATCATCCTCCCACGCCCCTCCTTTACATGGGAAGTAGCCCTGAGACACCCTGGAACAGGACACCACACTCCCTGGGGCCAGGAGGGACCCACCTCTCTTTCTCACCAGACAGCCAGGGCACCGAGTCCCAAAGCAAGAACAAGGAGACTTGGTTGGAATCCCTTGTCTTTCCACACCCTGGGGCAGTTCAGCCCTACATCTTCAGCTGAGTCTCAAACACCTGAAGGCAACCCTGCTTTTTTCACCAGGCCATGTAAGTCTCCATTGAAAAGTCGTAACAGTCACCCTTATGATGTCTGGTTTCTATGGCAACCGAGATGTATACGCTTATCCTCCACACTGGAAATGCTGCCTCCATAGCGCCCTCTGTCCTCTTGCCTTTCTGGGAAAGCAAAAAACCTTCTCTCTTCAGACTACCACCTGAGAAAGTTTACCAATAAAAGGAACTAGACAGGGACCCAGGCAATTGGTGGAACTCTGCCCTCATTTGATAAAGGACAGAAGTCCGTGTTGTTGGGAATTTTGTTTGCTTTAAAACTGACCTTGAGGGAATATTATCACTACATAGAGAGCCAGGGAGGTATCCTAAGGCTCTAGACGATGAGCTAGCCCTGAGGGAGGGAACATGTACAACTCATACACCATGCTAGGCAGTTAGGCATCTGTGGCAGAAAACTGAGAGACTGTTTATAATCATATGACTAAACAAACTAGCGACACCAAAATATGTCATTTAAGCTATCTCTAAGTTATTTCAGGGAAGCAGGCTTAGAATAATATAGTCATTAGTAGGCAAAAACCTAATCAATTCAATCATACAATGGTTTGTCTTGACAAAGTCTTTTCCCCCCATCCCAGTATTTTATTCCATGTGAATGGACATTCACAACCAAAACATTTCTAGCCTCTCTGCACACTCCTTTGGGAGGAGAAACATGCTGCTCAGCTGGAGTCCTTCCTTCAAAACTCTTTGTAGTAAGCTGCCTTCCAGAGACACTCACTCTGCTCTGCCAACAGGAGGGATCTTACAAGAGGCCCACAGTTCTGTTCTTTCTGTGTCTCGCTGGCTCCCCAACTATTCCTATGGTCTTGCTTTACAATGCTCGAATATATTTTTTTAAATTTTTCTTGAGATGGAGTCTCACTCTTTCATCAGGCTGGTATGCACTGGCGTAATCTTGGCGCACTGCAACCTCCACCTCCTGGGTTCAAGCAATTCTCCTGCCTCAGCTTCCCAAGTAGTTGGGATCACAGGCATGTGCCACCATGCCCAGCTAATTTTTGTATTTTTAGTAGAGACACGGTTTCACTATGTTGGCCAGGATGGTCTCGATCTTTTGACCTCGTGATCCGCCTGCCTCAACCTCCCAAAGTGCGGGGATTACGGGCATGAGCCACTGCACCCAGCCTACAATGCTTGAATCTTTAAGGGCCTCTCAGCTCCCACCAAGTACTCCACTGCTCCAAGTCTTAGCACTAAACCAAGATATGTAATTTTAAAACTACATGAGCTTTATTTCTTATAAAGGTGATACTGGAGAATATGACTTAGATTTGCTGTCACATGGGCTATGAAAGAGCTCCAGAATCGACAGTGTCCACCTAGCAGTGCTGCATTGGGAGTCACAAATGCCAAGGATTGCAATGCATAATGACCTGTTGTCTCCTGAAGGAGCCCTGTCCATGTGTGTTCAAGAAAAGTGACTTTCTTGCCAAGGGCTATCCCTGTAGCAGAAGAAATGTGAAGAAATATCCCTTGTTTGGAATAATAACTCACTAAGCCAACCTCTGAGATTTTTCTTATGAAGTGGTTTGTAGCAACACACTCTCAGCACCTTAATTTACATGACTGTAGTAGAGGCTCATCTTACGGTATTATGCTCCAAATTCCAATGGTAGTGGAAAAATTACACATTGTGAAAATTTCCATTGGAAATCTCTTCAAGTAGGAATCAATGACATGTCCTATCAATGGACATCTCTATCCATTTATCAATGACAAACCTCTATCCACATATAAACCAACACTCAGATTATAGTCAAAATTATAACTAAGTTCCACCAGCCCTTTCTTATTCAGTAACAGATCACAGAAAAAGAGGGAAAGCTCACCAAAACCCTAATGTTTTGCATATATATTTCTCCTTAACCATTAACCCCCAAAATAGCCATTTATTATCACTCAGGAGTCTGTGTGTTGACTGGGCTGAGCTGGGTGTTTCCTGCTTCATGGGGTATCTGTCACCTGGGGATGCAGTCATCTGGATGCTCCACATATCTGGGACATCCAAGAGGCTCACTCACATGGATGATGACTGGTACTGGTAACTTCTGGGAGCTCAGCTGGCGTTTTGCCTGGAACACCTTGGTTTGACACAGAGTCCTCCATGGGTAGAGTAGCCAGAGAAAACAGAAGACACTCAGTTAAATTTGATTCCAGACAAATAATGAATAATATTTTAGTGTGTGACGGTTATATTTATATGCCAACTTGGCTGGGCTAAAGTACACAGCTCATCAAACATTATTCTGGATGTTTCTTTGAGGGTGTTTTTGAATGAAATTAAAATTTAAATTTCTGGATATTGTATAAAGCAGATTACCATCTATACTGTGGGTAGGCTTCATTTAATCAACTGGAAATCTGCATAGAAAAAAAAAAAAAGACTGACATCCCCTGAAGCAAAGGGAAGTGTGCTCGAAGATGGCATTTGGAATTAAACTGCAACATTGGTTCTTCACCGGTCTGCAGTCTGCAAACACATCCTGCAAATTTGCGACTTCCAGCTACCATAATCATGCTAGCCAATTCCTGAAAATAAATCAGTCTCTCCCCAAACCCTCTATTGAGATAGATAGATACATACATATACACACATACTGTATTGGATATGTGACTCTGGATGTGGCATGCAATATTATTTTATTTGAACTCAACTGGGCATCTCATATTTTTATTTGCAAAATCTGGCAACCCTATGGGTACAGCCTTTGGATGTGTTAAGTTTTATTGACCTTCTGACATGACATTTCCAATGAGTCAAGTCTAAGGAAAATGAGCAGGTAAGACTGAAAAAAAGGAAAAAAGCCGGTAATACCTAGTGCTGGTGAAATAAAGGGGACAGACTTTCATATACACTATTGGCGCAGCATTGATGTATACACTTTCTGAGGCCCATATTATTACAGCTTAATGACTTGAATGGCCTTTGTGAAGAAGTCCTATTTCTACCAACACGGGAGTTTCAGCTGAGGGTTTAGAAAAGGCTCATCAAGGTGACTCTGATGTGCATCCTAGTTAAGAAGCCCTGGACGTGGGGGCAGGTCAAATTAATATATGAGATAGCTTCTATTTACGGAACAGAGTGTTTAGAGGGGCCTAGCTCCAGGTCCTTTATGTTAGTGTCTGGATTTGATCTCATGACAGCCCTGCTACTGAGGTACCAGTATCCTCTCTTCTTCATGGATGCCTGCGACTACAAAGCACATGCTTCTTACCACAGAGCTGGATGGCAAAAAATGTTGCTCAGTACGCCCACTGCCAGAGCCAGGCCCACTGCCAGAACCTGCCAGCTTGGGCACCTTGAGTTGCTGGTGGCAGAGCTTTAGCATGAGGACATATACTGTTAAGGAGTTTAATCTCTGTTCTCCTTGTGTTTACCCTTCCTGCATTTCTAGCAGAAAACCAGGCTTGGGCCTCCTTCCCCGTCTCAGGAAAGGTTTATAGCAGGGCTGGAAGCAGAAGCTGTCTGAAGCCAGTGTTTGCTTCATCCTGCATGAAAATTTAAACTTAAGGAAAGGATTGGGCTGCTTGTACCTGGCAGAGAGGGGAAGGGTTCTGAGGACACAGAGAAGGGAGAAGAGAGGTTTTTCCTGGACAGGGATGAGGTCAGAGGTCTACAGGTCCCTCCGGGAGTAGGGACCTGAGCATTGCTTCATATCAATGTTTGGAGAAGCTCTGTATATAGTTCATCGAGGCTGGGCATCCATCCATGAGACAGATTCTCCTGTTTGGTCGGAAGGATGGATAGCTCAGGGTCGGGAAGGGGGGTGGGGCTGAAGGTAGTAAACCAGCTAGGGAAATGGTCAGCTCAGCTCTCAGCAGTGGGGACACATGTGTGATAATGATCTGCCATGCTGTATCTGGAGGATACATTTCCACAAATGGTTATTCTTTGTCAAAGAGCATGACTATTTTTAATATATACTGTCTAGTTGAAAGTTAAAATCTCTTTACTAATGAATATCCCAACCAACTGCAAGATGAGAGCACCTGTTTCTCTAGATTTGTGCAATAATGGATTTCCCAATGTTATTAATATTTGCTAATGTAATATACTATCACTGTAATGTTAAAATACTTCTCATTTTTCTCCACCTATTTCCACATAAATGGCATATTTCACACGTGCATTTCTAAATGCAAACATAACAGTCCCACTTTATGCCTCAGAATATGTCCTTGAATAGTCCTAGAGTCTGATGAGAAAACCTGATGAGTGAGTTTGTGTTTATGCTGTGTCCTGTTTAAATGGAAATTGTGGAGTCATAAGAACGACATACACTGAAGCAGGAGAACAAAATGGTGGACTGTCTTTGCAGAGACACTGGGGAACATATATGAGAGAAGCAAGCATGGCCCCATCAACTCTTAAGTCTGCACTGCAGAGAGTCCCTGGCATGTGTGCAAGAATGGTCATGGCAGCATGGCCAAAATATCAAAATAACCCCAAAGTCAACTTATTAAAGACATCTTAGAAACATCATTTTCAGAAGAAATAATTTCAATAAGCGTTTGCTATGATTTGGATGTTTGACTCCTCTAAACCTCATGTTGAAATTTGATCCCCAATGTTGGAGGTGGGACCTAACAGGAGGTGTTTGGGTCAGGGGGGTGGATCCCTCATGAAAGTCTTGGTGCCATCCTTGCTGTGATGAGTGAGTCCTTGCTCTATTAGTTACCACAAGAGCTGGTTGTTTAAAACAGTCTAGTACCTCCCATCTCTCTTCTCCCTCTCTGGCCATGTGATCTCTGCACAAGTTAGCTCCCCATGGCCTTCCATCATGAGTGGAAGCTTCCTGAGGCCCTCATCATAAGCAGATGCCCAATCTTGAACTTTCCAACCATCAGAATTGTTAGCCACATAAAGTTTTTCTTTATAAGTTATGCAGCCTCAGATATTCCTTTATAGCAACACTAAGTGGACTAAGATAGTGGTATAAAAATATATGGTTTATTCCATTTACCCATCAGGACAGCAGTGTGAAGGAAGTATGGTGAGTCCCATCTCACAGATGATCAAGCTCTGGCTCACAGAGACTAAGACCCTCTCCAGATAAGTGGCAGAATGGTCATGAGATTCTGTCTCTTACCCTCCTACGCAATGGAACCAGCAGCTTCTTATTTGGAAGATGATAATTGTATACTTCCCCAGTATTGTTCCCTAAGGGTACTCACTCAACAGCCCTTCACATTGAGGAAGAGGATGGTGGAGATGAAATCCTGCCCTTTGGGCCATGAGGCATAGCTGTGGGGTCATATGGATTACCAGGTCTCTGAGGTTAACTGTGGGGTGAAATAAAGAAACATAACCTCATGTGGAACAAGAAATAACAGCGAAGAGAACAGAAAACAGCAGGCCCTCCAGGGATCACCTCTACCTCTCTCTGTCTTTGCTCCCTTCCCCACCTCATTTGTCTCCTGCTCTGTGTGACAGTATGGGATGTACACAGGTATCCAAGGTACCCTGAGAGAGGACAGAATGATGGGAAGATCTAGACCATGAGAAGGGTGGATCATGCAGCACTAGTCCTGGGTGTTGGCTCACCCACCAGGCGCTCCATCTCTTCCTACTTCTGTGTGCCTTACCATCACTCTACCACACAGTAATGAAGCTCCCACATTAACAGAAATATGCACTCTCCAAAGGAGGCTAGCAGGGTAAGTGACTTAACCCTGAGACCAGAACATCTCACAGTTACTGGTTTGGGTCTGGCACCAATAATGCAGAGAGATCTCTGGTCTCTCTTGCTCCAGTGTCCTGAACAGCAGACAGTATGAGGCTTTCATCAAGCCCCTTGGGACTGCAAAGGAAACACACTTTTCTCATGCAGATGGCGGGTAATATAAGGGGACAGGAAAACCCGCGAAACAGGAAGAAGTGTGGTGTGTGGTGACTTCATTCCCTTACCCCAAACTCCATTCACGGGGTCCATGATTCAGTTGAATAGAAGTGGTGGAATCCCCTTCTTCCCTTCCCCAGCACCATCAGGGCACTCATTCCACCACATAGAAATGACACTGACTCACGGTGAAATTAGAAATGTGGGAGTGTTTTCCTTCTCCCAAGTGCTCTCTAGTCACATGGAAAATAGTTACTATACACTAGAGAAACTTGACAAACCCCACCTTAATTAATTAACATCACCAGTGACATTAAGTAGGCCTCTTGACTACTAGATATAGTGTGACAAGAAGGGCACTTCAACTCAATGGTATTCTTTCTCAAAACACATAATCCTGGTCTAATCACAATAAGAACAACTGGCTAAGCCTCTACTCCTCATGACTGTCAGGGTCATGAAAGTCATCTGGAAGTTCCTCAAATGGATAAGCAGGGAGTTACCAGCAATTCCACTCTTAGGTACATACTCAAGAGAAATGAAAACATAAGTCTACCTGAAAACTTGTACACAAATGTATGTCGAATTGTCATTCATATTAGCCAACAACTAGAAATAATCCAATGACTATCAACAGATAAATGGATAAAAAATGTAGTCTATTCATACAAGATTTTTCAGCCATTAGAAAGAATGACATTATGACACAGGCTATACCATGGATGAACCTTGAGTATATATCATAACCAGGTGAAGGAAGCCAAACAATAAAGACCAAATATTGTATGATTCCATTTATATAAAGCATGTAAACAGGCAAATACATAGACACAGAAAACATTTGTGATTGCCAAGGCTGAAGGAGGAATTAACTGTATTCAAGCATGATGGGACTTTTTGAGGTAATGGAAATATTAAAAGCTTAATTATGGTGATGGTAGCACAATTCTACACATTTACTAAAATTCATCAAATTTTACCCTGAAAATGGGTAAATTTCATTGTCTGTAAAGTACATTGCAAGAAAGCTGTTTAAAAATATGGTACTACAATTTTTATGTAGTATGCCAGCAAGACAGAACTGTTCACTCCCCTGGAAGGGGGCTGAAGCCAGGGAGCCAAGTGGTCTAGCTCAGTGGATCCCACCCCCACGGAGCCCAACAAACTAAGATCCACTGGCTTAAAATTTTTGCTGCTAAGATCCACTGGCTTAAAATTCTTGCTGCCAGCATAGCAGCCTGAAGTCCACTTGGGATGCTCCAGCTTGGTGGGGGGAGGGGCGTCCACCATTACTGAGGCTTGAGTAGGTGGTTTTCCCCTCACAGCATAAACAAAGACACAGGAAAGTTCGAACTGGGCAGAGCCCACCACAGCTTGGCAAAGCCACTGTAGCCAGATTGCCTCTCTAGATTCCTCCTCTCAGGGCAGGGCATCTCTGAAAAAAAGCCACCAGCCCCAGTCAGGGGTTTATAGATAAAACTCCCATCTCCCTGGGACAGAGCACCTCAAGGAAGGGGTGGCTGTGGGTGCAGCTTCAGCCAACTTAAACGTTCCTGCCTGCCAGCTCTGAAAAGAGTAGCAGATCTCCCAGCACAGCACTCGAGCTCTGCTAAGAGACACACTGCCTCCTCAAGTGGGTCCCTCTGACTCCCATGAGTCCTGACTGGGAGACACCTCCCAGCAGGGGTCGACAGACACCTCATATAGGAGAACTCCGGCTAGCATCTGACGGGTGCCTCTCTGGGATGAAGCTTCCAGAGGAAGGAACAGGCTGCAGTCTTTGGTGTTCTGCAGCCTCCACTGGTGATACCCAGGCAAACGGGGTCTGGAGCGAACTGCCAGCAAACTCCAGCAGACCTGCAGCAGAGGGGCCTGTTAGAAGGAAAACTAACAAACAGAAAGGAATAGTATCAACATCAATAAAAAGAATGTCCACACCAAAACCCCATCCAAAGGTCACCAACATCAAAGACCAAAGGTAGATAAATCCATGAAGATGGGGAGAAACCTGCACAAAAAGGCTGAAAATTGCAAAAACCAGAAGGCCTCTTCTCCTCCAAAGGATCACAACTCCTCACTAGCAAGGGAACAAAACTGGATGGAGAATTAGTTTGACAAATTGACAGAAGTAGGCTTCAGAAGGTGGGTAATAACAAACTCCTCTGAGCTAAAGGAGCATGTTCTAACCCAATGCAAGGAAGCTAAGAACGTTTTAAAAAGGTTAGAGGAATTGCTAACTAGAATAAACAGTTTAGAGAAGAACATAAATGACCTGATGGAGCTGAGAAACACATCATGAGCACTTCATGAAGCATATGCAAGTATCAACAGCTGAACTGATCAAGCAGAAGAAAGGATATCAGAGATTGAAGATCAACTTAATGAAATAAAGCATGAAGACAGGATTAGAGAAAAAAGAATGAAAAGGAACGAACAAAGCCTCCAAGAAATATTGGAATATGTGAAAAGACCAAACCTATGTTTGATTGATATACCTGGAAGTGATGGGGAGAATGGAACCAAGCTGGAAAACACTCTTTAGGATATTATCCAGGAGAACTTCCCTAACCTAGCAAGAGAGGCCAACATTCAAATTCAGGAAATACAGAGACCACCACAAAGATACTCCTCAAGAAGAGCAACCCCAAGACACATAATCGTCAGATTCACCAAGATTGAAATGAAGGAAAAAATGTTAAGGGCAGCCAAAGAGAAAGGTCGGGTTACCCACAAAGGGAAGCCCATCAGACTAACAGCGGATCTCTCTGCAGAAACCCTACAAGTCAGAAGAGAGTGGGGGCCAATATTCAACATTCTTAATGAAAGAATTTTCAATCTAGAATTTCATATCCAGTCAAACTAAGCTTCATAAGCGAAGGAGAAATAAAATCCTTTACAGACAAGCAAATGCTGAGAGATTGTCACCATAGGCCTGCCTTACAAGAGCTCCTGAAGGAAGCACTTCAGGAGTGGAAAGGAACAAGCGGTACCAGTCACTGCAAAAACATGCCAAACTGTAAAGACCATCAATGCTAGGAAGAAACTGCATCAACTAACGGGCAAAATAACCAGCTAACATCATAATGACAGGATCAAATCCACACATAACAATATTAACCTTAAATGTAAATAGGCTAAATGCCTCAATGAAAATACACAGACTGGAAAATCGATAAAGAGTCAAGACCCATGGTGTATTGTATTCAGGAGACCCATCTCACGTGCAAAGGCACACATAGGCTTGAAATAAAGGGAAGGAGGAATATTTACCAAGCAAATGGAAGCAAGAAAAAGCAGGTGTCACTTTATTTTTGATGAGTTTAATCTAATTGGCTGCATATTTTGTGACTTATTTATTTATATTTAGTACTATCTTTTCAAGGTTTTTTTTTTTTTCAGTCAATAAATTTGGACTTTGCACTTCTAACTAGCTTGATACAGCTCCAGACAAAGCTGAGTCTAGGTAAGCAGTCAATCTGGTTGTGGATTGTATTAGAAAAATGACTTCAGCAACTTATGTGGAGAGACTATGCTCAGGTTCCTGCATCCATAAAAATTGGTATAATAACACTCATTGCCCTTTTATTTTGCAGACATCATAAAGATACATACGACAATTAAAGGAACCCAAATATATGGGAATAAACATATAAACCTGGGGTAGGACTGTTATTATAATGATGGTAAACAATGGGCATATTCAAAATCTGAGTAATTAATACAAACTGTCCAAGACCATTTTAAAATATTGAATGCATATGGAAACTTGGAAAGCAAGAAGGAATCACAAGCTGGGACACTGGGAAAGCTTGAGAGTCCTAATCCTGCCAGAGGCACTGCAAGGTGTAGACACTTGCAACATTCCTGTCTGACAGCTCCCAGGTGAGTAGATAGATTTGTGTCTTTCCCAGCAGCCTGTGCTGCTATTTAAAAACAGGCATGGTTCCTCTCACTCCTGGTAGGAGCAAAGGCCAGTGGCCTGATGGGACAAATAACCTTTCCTTCTCTGAGCCCAGAAAATATCCATATTAATTGGAATTGAATATTGAAATGTACCACCTTTGCATAAGTCTAAACCTTGCAGCCTCTGGCTTCATTATGAGTCAGCTGTCAAATGGGAAAGACAGTGGGTGGGTCCTGAAACAAGGCTTTGAGTGTTTTCTGCATCTCTGTGAGCAGCCAGGCTTTCTACTGCTTATACTATTTTTTTTTTTTTTTTTTGAGACGGAGTCTCGCTCTGTCCCCGGGCTGGAGTGCAGTGGCCGGATCTCAGCTCACTGCAAGCTCCGCCTCCCGGGTTTACGCCATTCTCCTGCCTCAGCCTCCCGAGTAGCTGGGACTACAGGCGCCCGCCACGTCGCCCGGCTAGCTTTTTGTATTTTTTAGTAGAGACGGGGTTTCACCCTGTTAGCCAGGATGGTCTCAATCTCCTGACCTAGTGATCCGCCCGTCTCGGCCTCCCAAAGTGCTGGGATTACAGGCTTGAGCCACCGCGCCCGGCTGCTTATACTATTAAAGTCGAATATAAAACTGTCATTTAAAAGAAAGTGAAAAAAGGATGAGTTTGTGCCCTTTGTAGGGACATGGATGCAGCTGGAAACCATCATTCTCAGCAAACTATTGCAAGAACAGAAAACCAAACACCGCATCTTCTCACTCATAGGTGGGAACTGAACAATGAGATCACTTGGACTCGGGAAGGGGAACATCACACACCGGGGCCTATCATGGGGAGGGGGGAGGGGGGAGGGATTGCATTGGGAGTTATACCTGATGTAAATGACGAGTTGATGGGTGCTGACGAGTTGATAGGTGCAGCACACCAACATGGCACAAGTATACATATGTAACAAACCTGCACGTTATGCACATGTACTCTAGAACTTAAAGTATAATAATAATAAAAAAAAAGAAAAAAAAAAAGAAGAAAAAAAAATAAAAGAAAGTGACAGAGTATCTCTTTCCTTCCCCACTGTATTGGGGGTCCACTGACATTTCCACAGAGAAGTCTTCTTTGAAGTCCCCTTTCTGACAAGGTTTCTCTTCCAATTATATTCTTCTTCTTCAGCTTTGAATTTATTCTTGTTCATACTTATCTCAGTTGCAATTTTTCATTAATCTGCAGGATTATTTGATTAGTGCCTTCCTTGCCAACTGAAGAGTAAATTAGAATAAATCAAGGGCTATATTTATTTTTACTAGGGCTGCCATATTTATCACAGACAAACAAGTAAACAAATAAAATAAAAAACTACAGGACACTCAGCTAAATTTGAATTTCAGATAAACATAGAATAATTTTTAGTATAAGAATGTTGTTTATCTAAAATTCAAATTTAACTGGGAATCCTGTATTTTATCCTGCAACATTTTTAGCCACAGTTTACCTTCAGGGCTTATCACAGTATTAATAACATTGTAAGAGTTCAATTAAAATGTCTTGAATGGATGAATGCCAGATTACAGGGAGGAAGGAAAGTATCATAACATTTTAGACAGTTGCAAATACATAAGATTGCATACTAGAATAATTATAATCCATTTCCAAAAACACTTCCTTAAAGTAAATTTTCAAAAGCCAGGAACAACCCATAGAGCTCATAGATAAAACTTTTACAGAGTAATAGTCAGTAAAAATGTCACACCACAATTCCACCATCAACATATTTTCGATTCTCCTGATATCTAAACAGAAAAGGTAACAAAAATCATATACACATCACATAATTAACTAAAAACCACATTTGAACCAAAAAGACTCTCCTCATTTTTTACAGTGTTGATTGAAATACAGTAGGCGAAACTTACAAAATATGTAGTTGTAAATAGAAACATTCACTAGAGATCAAGAGGTGTAGAAATAGCCAGGAAAAGTGGCAAATAACCCTCAAAAGATTTTGAGTGTACCTCAGATATTGTTCTTTGTCATCATTATTATAACTGTCTGACCTAATTGCTGTCTATAAATTAAAAAGCAGATTATTGTCTTCTTAGCCCCTTTTCATGTTCTCTTTTCTTTCATTAATTTCAACAAATATTGAATGTCTATTGCGTGTAAGACAATGTCTAAAACAAAATAAAAATCTGTGTAAATGTGAAAAAAAATATGATACTGACCTGGTCTTCTGTTGTACCACAGTAATGACCAAACGTTTTCATACAAAAGAATTGATGCATATGTTTCATATAAAAATGAATGCATATAGGGCCGGGCAGGATGGTTCACGCCTGTAATCCCAGCATTTTGGGAGGCCAAGGCAGGCGGATTACGAGCTGAAGAGATCAAGACCATCCTGGTCAACATAGTAAAACCTCGTCTCTACTAAAAATACAAAAAATTAGCTGGGCGTGGTGGTGCATGCCTGCAGTCCCAGCTACTCGGGAGGCTGAGGCAGGAGAATCGCTTGAACCCAGGAGGTGGAGGTTGCAGTGAGCCGGGATCACACCACTGCACTCCAGCCTGGCAACAGAGCGAGACTCTGTCGCAAAAAAAAAAAAAGAAAAAAAGAGTGCCTGTGTCCTACCCCTGCTGCCTCTGTCCTGTGTAACTCCAAGCAATGATCATTCCTCTTCCCCCTTCCCCTCATTGCTACATCAGGTTGTGCTTGTGTGCAAAATTTGATTGCATCTGATCACTTCCATGTCTTCCAATTATGGCAATGGCTTGAGAGCGGGTCCATGACAGAGTCCAGAACCCATCCTATGTGATAGGATGTCAGCATTAACTAATTTCTTCACTCCTCTGTGGCTGACCTCACATGCCTCCCCTTGGGGAGTCTAAATGGCACAACTCTATGTGTGCCACTATGTCAATACATATCAAAGGGTACACACCACTTACATAAACAATTTCCCTTGTAGAAATTCATCTTCAGAATGTAGTGAAGAATGTTCATAAGCATCTGGTTATAAGGACTGCCATCCTGATAATTCTCTTTTGTCACTTCTGGGCCTGAATTTGGGAAGAGAAACCAAATGAGACACAAACCCATGAAGGGGCAGAGGGAAATGTGGTTGTCAGCACACACACACATACACACACACACACTCTCTCACACAAACTGAGACATTTATCATGTTGTGTTGTATTTCTCCTAAGACAGCTTGCCGGACTCAAGGAAGACACATTCAACTCACTAGTGCAAATAGCCACAGGAACTGTGCCCGTAACTGTGCCCTTCAGCAGTGCACAGAGTCTGAAAAGATGCCATCCACACAGTGTAGATAATAGGAAATATCAGGACAGTCTGAATAACATGAGGTTGTGAAAATTGATTATGTCACATCCATAGGATGGAATTCCAGAAGGCAACGAAAACGAGTTATAATGAAAGTAATGATGAGACATGACTTCTTGTGCACCAAATTAATCATTCTCATTATTTCTAATGTGTACAGAAACAGGTACTTTCACACTGTGATACAGGTCATATAAATTAGTAATAGTATTTTGAATTCATTATTAATATAAAATGTTATAGTTCAAAGGGCTTTAAAATGACTCAGGAACTTATTATAAATAAATGCTTATACACGTATTTGCATATACGTGAGCATGGCGTTAAGTACATTATTTTTGGTCATAGAAATGGTAAGGGAACTAAATTTTCATTGCTGTAATACTAGTGAAATAAATTTGAGGGCATCCACACAATGAAATACACAGTCCAAAAAAAAAAAAAAAGTGATATTTTGTGTTTAAGTATTTTAAAGTATACTTCCATGAAAAAATGGTTATAATAAGGGCAAACTTGGGTTACGAAGATGATAAAAGATCGGCATCCATTTTAGCTTACCCAGTTCTCCAGCTATTTATCCATATGTCTCAAAGCATTGAAAAAATATATTTATTATTCTGACATAGTTTTCTCTTCCACATAGTAAAGGGCTTCATTTTTTAAATGGAGGCTGTCGGTATTCCTACACACTGGGAATACCCAATTTTCCACTCAGACTTCTAGAAAACTCTGTAGGGCGGGCTTGGGCCACAACTCCTCCCTCCCACTTTCCTACTGTGATGTTCAAGCTGCAGTTCAGGCTTCAGTCACGAGGGGGCACTATCATACCACCATTGTCAAACTTCTCCACAGCCATGTTTGCATGGAGCAAAAAAAATTCCTCACTTAAAACCTAGCATATGAATTTACATACAGAATGGCTCTAATTCTGTCAGAATAAAATTGATAAGTGTAAAAGATGACAGTAAAATCCTCTACTCTGCGGCATCCATAAGATGAAACATGAGATACCTCTAGTGCACACTGGCAGCCCATGGCAGGCAGAATTATTGTAATTTGGTATATTTTTGAAAGTTTAGTGACTATGTATATTGCATTTTATGCGAATTATCTGTTCATATCTTTTGATGATTTCTCTCCTCATTATTAAGACTTCTTCCATATCAAGGATATTATGTATTAACCATTCTAAATCCTAAATAAATATAGATAGCAAATAAACATATGAACTAGTGAAAGACTATACAATTTGTGTTTAAAAGCAATACAACAGAATTGAACACAAATGAGCAATCATATCAATAACAGTAAATTGGCTTAACTCATCTATTAAAATAAAAGTATTTCAGATTGCCTATTGAAGCAAAATCCAAAGCTATGCTTTTCCCAGTGATACACGTAAAACAAATGTATTCATATAGGTTAAAAATGTAAGGATAAATATACACTAGGCAGTTGACAATATAAAGAAAATAAGGGTTACAATCTTGATAATTAAGAGAAAAAAACTGAGACTAAAATGGATTTAAAGAGACAAAAAATCACAGTTGATAAAGCCAAAGGCTACAATTCACAAGGAAGATGGGAGCTATTAATACTTACTTATGCAGTCATGTGGTAAAAATATTGATAGAACAAAAACTACAGTAGTGCAAAGAGAAGTAGGAAGAAGCACACCATTTAATAATAGATGATTCTACATTTCCTGTTATCCAAAAACGTTCAGGTGGAGAAAAATTTAGTAATTGTAGAGAAGACTTAAGCAACATAATTCCAAGGGTAGATCTTACAGATACACTTATTCTAAACTGTGAAGCCTAATATTAGGTAACACACCTACTTTTCATATAAACATGGATCATTCATGAAAACTGATTCTATCTGAGGCTGTTAAACAAAACTTGCGCCCAAATGGAAATAGATTAAAATTGCAGAATTTGGTGCATATAATCATAATGAAAACAGAGCATGTATGAATTTAGCTAGAGTAGCTATCAGAGACTATTTTAAAGCATTAAATACCAATATCAATAAAAATGAAAATAAATGAGTTAAACATTCAATTCAGAAAGCCTGATAAAGAACCACAATGTAAACTAAAAGAATGCAGATGAAAAGAATACTTAATGGTAAAATTAGAAGTGAATGTAAAGAAATAACATCTCAGCAGAGTTGGGATGAGAAGAAAGCAAACATTGGTGGTGTGAATAATGTGTCAAAAACTGTGCTGGGATCTGGAGGAGAGTTTCCCCTTGAATTCCTCACAATGCTCTCTTGAGTATAAGAATCAAGTTTGTGTGTGTGTGTGTACATATAGACATACGATGTTAAATTAGCTAGTTGGAGGACAAGAACACCTATAGTATTAACGTGTGTGTGGGGTTGTATGAAGACAAATATGCAAAAAAATATATATTTTGTCTAGGGATGTTCTCATATATAGTAAAGTAATAAAAAATATGTGGAATAAATACCGCATTCTGGATATTGATTATCTCTAGGAGGGAAGAAAGGGCCATGGAGGAGTAAAGTTTTTCTTAACCTGGATTAATTTTATAGTTATCTATACACTTTATCTGAAATATTTCATAAGTAGCAGAGGTTTTAGGGGATATAGTGTTTTTTTTCATAAGTCTAATCCATACTCAGCAAAGGCTTAATATTGAGCCAAGTGGAGAAGTTAAAAATATCAGTCCCATCATAGACTGGGCGCAGTGGCTCACGCCTGTAATTCCAGCACTTAGGGAGGCCGAGGCAGGTGGATCACTTGAAGCCAGGAGCTCGAGACCACCAGCCTGGCCAATACAGCAATACCCATCTGTACTAAAAATACAAAAAAAAAAAAAAAATTAGCTGAGTGGTCAATATGTTACATATATGCCATTTCCAATTAGATGCATTGTTTAAGAACTGAGGCTGGATCAACTGGTAAAGGGTTCATTGGGAAGCAAATTTGGGGCAAGGCATGGTGGCTCCTGCCTGTGATCACAGAACTCTAGGAGGCCGAGGTGGGAGGATTCCTAGACGTTGATGAGCCTGAACAACATAGTGAGAGCCCATCTCTATAAAAAAATTTTTTTAAATTAGGCAGGAGTCGTGGCACATGGCTGTAGTCCCAGCTACTCAGGATGTCAGGTGTCTCACACCTGTAATCCCAGCTACTTGGGAGGCTAAGGCAGGAGAATCGACTGAACCCGGGAGGCAGAAGCTGCTGTGATCCAAGATCACGCCACTGCACTCTAGCCTGCGTGACACGGCAAGACTCTGTGTCAAAAAAAAAAAAAAAAAAAAAAAATCAATCCCATCATGGTTGAAATTAACATTGGGCTATGTTCTTTGGGATTTTTTTGTGTATACATGTATGCACATGAACTGTACATACACTACATATGCAACTCATATAATTAATATACCATATATATAGTTCAGTACCCTGTCTTTTTTGTTATTTTAGTTTTCCTTTTACCTTAAGTACTAACATGTGGATGAGGCATTCTGGTTAAATTACAAGGTAAAAGACATGATACAACTTTGCTTTTTTTTTTGAAGGTTCTTGCTCTGTCATCCAGGCTGTAGTACAGTGGTGTGATCACAGCTCACTGTAGACTTGACCTCCTGGGCCCAAGCAGTCCTCCCACCTCAGCATCCTGAGTAGCTGGGACTACAGCCATGTGCCACCACTCCTGCCTAATTTTTAATTTTTTTTGTAGAGATGGGATCTCACTAGGTTGCTCAGGCTCATCTTGAACTCCCAGGCTCAAGGAATCTTCCCACCTTGACCTCCCAAAGTTCTGTGATCACAGGCAGGACCACCATGCCTTGCCCCAAATTTGCTTCCCAATGAACCCTTTACCAGTTGATCCAGCCTCAATTCTTGAACAATACATCTGATTGGAAATGGTATACATGTAACATATTGAATAATATTATATGTTTGGGTCTGCTCCTGAGATTTCTATAGAGTTCCTTTAATCTATATATCAAACACTCTGTCCAACAGTTATTTCATTATAGGTTCATGAAACGTAATACCTGGCCATGTATTCCTACTCCTATTATTCACCCTTTTGATAGGTGAAATGAATAATAAAAAAATATGCTAACAATTATAAGGTATATAGTATTAATAGACAAATTGCTTACTATAGATCATACAACCAAAAAGTGATGGTTCCCAGGGTCAAATTCAGAAACTTCTCACCCCAAAGCCCACACCTCTAATCACTGTTTCTACACTGAGTGCTCCTCTGTGTTTGGGCTGAGGCCAACAAAGGGAAGGGACTTTCTCAAAGACCTGTGGTCAGTTGAGGGGTTTTGCAGCCAGGGCACAAGGTTAATGATTCTCATCTTCAGTCCAGCTGGCCCATTAATATTCCTGGATCTTCTGTACTATTTCTTCTTGGGGCTCAATAAGAATTCCAGAGGGATCATGGTGGATGGGAGGCAAGACTAGATTGCAGCTCCCAAGTGGACAGGCAGAGCAGTGTATGGAGACTCGCATCGTGTACTTTTGCTCCAGAACTACTGCAGAAATAAACCAGGAAAGCTGAGAGAACCCACAGACCTTCTGAAATAAGGAGATTTTTCCTGCAGGACCCAGGAGACACTCCACATACTGTGAGTGCCCAAGCTGTGGAAGTGGGAAAGGGGGATCATCTACCCCGAACATACACCCTCACTGGGGAACCTGAAAGTCTAGATCATGGAAGAAGAT